ATTCATTCATTCATTCATTCATGTGCAGTGACAGAAATTGAACCCAGGGTCTCATGGTTGCTGGTCAAGCATTCTGCCACTGAGCTACGTCCTCGACCTCATAGACGTTATCTTTATGTTATTTAAAATTTATTTATTTATTTATCTTGTGTGCAGAGAAGGGGGACTTTGCATGTGTGTGTGTGTGTGTGTGTGTGTGTGTGTGTGTGTGTGTAGATCAGAAAACAATATGCAGGAGTGTTCTTCCACGGGGTGAATCCCAGGGAGGTCGTCAGGGTTGGACCTCCACCCACTGAGCCACCTCGTCAGCCCTGGGCCTTCACTTTAAAATGATATTTCTTTGTTATACTTGAGCCTACTTCTATTGTGTAATTTGTCAAGTGATCACCCTAACTATTCGAATCATTAAGATGCACAGCCTTTTAGTTGTATGTCTTTGTGCCCAGCTGAAAATGTGGGGATTTTTTCTAAAGAAGAAGGGAGTCTTGGTGTTAGTAGACTAACGATCTCCGACTGTGTGGTACACCGACTGCAAAGAAGGCAGACTGAGGCCACAGACAGCTGGTAAGGACACAGGAAAGGAATGGGAGTAGCTGTCTGTGGCCTCAGTCTGCCTTCTCCGCCAGGTGAGCAGCATGAGTGGCCATGTCACAGCTAGGGGAGGGGAAAAGGGACCATGGGCAGACTGGGACGAGCATGGGCTCTTCCCTCTCAGCTTGCATGGGGAGGAAGGAGGGAGAGGTCTGGAACCCTGAGCTGTGTGCTGAGATCCCCAGACCACCCCTAGTACAGCAGCTCTCCAAGCAAGCCTTCCAGGGCAGAAACCATAAGATTCCATGTCTCACACTGGGGACAAAGTGGCCTTATGGGTGCCCACAGCTTATCTACACACAGCCACTGTGTACCCTTCACATCTTCTGTCATCTGGACGCTCAGATTGGAGCATGATTCTGACCCACCAGAAGCTTTGCCTGGCCTGCCCACAAGTTGGAAGACAGACCCAGGGAACTCAGATGCCCCAGGGGCAGCCAGGCCAGGTAGAGCAAGCAAGCAAAGCATGGCCCTGACTCACAGGGCCCACAGCTGTTTTTAGCTGCGGGTGGAGGCTGCCTTCCCCTTCTCCACCTACCCCTCCTTGAGTCATTCTGGCTGCCTGGGGCACCAAAAGTCCAGACTCACTCCACTTTGCAGATGGACCCTGGAAAACCAGGCTGTCTTAGTGGGTAACCCTCCCTGTAGGTGAGGGGCCTTAGAAGCCCAAGGGCCTAGGTGTTTGGAACACTGTCCTCAAAGAGCAGTGTCTGGGTTAGCATAGTGGGCATGGACTTCCACTTTCCTGCCAGGAATCACTTCCTTATTAGGGCAGGCAGTGAGGAGAGCACAGCTGACAACTTTCCCATAAACCTTTGGCAGTGGACACACTCTCACAAGTAAACAGCCACCTAGTCAGACAGCAGGGCTCTGGAGGAGTCTCCAGGTAGCAGAAGCCCCTCTTATCCTTTGTGCAGAACCTCTGTTTGCCACAACCCCTCCAGGTGTTGACTTATTTCCTTGTCTCTCCCATTTCCTTGTCTCTCCCACCCCAGAGGATGCCTAGGGCTAGCACCTCCCACTTATTTCCTGAACTAGCCAGCAGGACAGTCTCTCTCCACTGGCTTTAGTAGGCTTTGGTGTTGAAAAGGCTCAGAGCAGAGAGCTCTGCAGGCTAAAGTAACAGACATGTATTGTTAGTCCAGGATTTTTCAAATGGAATAAGCTTATAAAGGTGTATCCCCTAAGGCCTGTCTCCCCCAGGGTGTGGTGAAGTCTCTAAGAATACAATCTTGAGAAAGAAGCAGGGAGGTAATGGCACTGGGTCCTTCAACCTCTGTAGTCCTGACTAATACCCATATAAGTACTATGTTGCCAAGTGCCACAGCAACACATGGAACAGTGCTCTCCTAAACTCAGCTGCTTGGCTCAGGGGCCTTCTCTGGGCTCAACCCTGTGCGTGTATCCCAAGTCCTCTGATGGACCAATGGGAGCCCAGGCACATTCATGGTGATGGCAGAGGCCCACAGCAACCAACCAAAACAGGCAAGGCCTGTCTATGAACCCACACACTGCCACTCCCATGTCATTCTGTAAGCCACAGGAAGTTCCTGTTATCTGAATTTCCCTCTGTTGAAAGAACTCAAATGAGGTACCTGGAGCATAGTATGCAAGACAGATGTGGGCATGGGGGGAGTGCTAGAAATATGGCTCAGCAGTTAGGAACACTGGCTGTTCTTCCAGGGGATCCAGTGCCCTCTTCTGGCTTCGACAGGCATCAGGCATGTACATGGTGCAGATGCACATGAAGGCAAAACACCTTTACACGTAAAATGATACATTTTAGAAAGGACTCAGATAGGGTTCATTATAAAGTGAAACACTCTCAGAGTGTGGGTGGGCAGTGCCCACAGCGACTGTTGTACCAACCCACATTTTAGATAAGCTTCATACTACTCCTGATATCTCCAGAACTGACTGCCTCTCCTGAAGGACATTGTCCTGCCTTCCCAAATGATGAGCAGGCCCATTTGAGTACCTCTAAAGGGAGGAGACAGTGGTCTTTGTTCTTCACCAGAAAGCCTTCCTAGATAGGAAACTTGTAGATCTTACAAGGTTAGATCCCCCTCTACCCAGTTCCGTATCTTTCTCTCTCTTGGACAGAGTCTTGATGTGTGGTCCTGACTGGCCTGGAACCACCAGCCTGCCTCACACATGCTGAGCTACCAGATAGGCAGGTAGCTATTAATGACTGGCAGTTGAGAAGGCTGAGTCTCCTCCACCTAGGGCCAGCGACTCAACTCAGATCCCATTCTCCTGCCAATGCTCAAGAGCCCCAGTGCTGTAGTTACTGGTTTACAAGCTTCTGGTGAGGAAAAGGCCACCCCAGTAACCTTCAAGCCTGCTAATTCCTAACTAGCTAACTCACATTGTAGCCACAGGTTCAGGAGACAGGAAGAGTATTCTGCCTTAGGGGAGGAGAGCATAGGGAATGGATAGAACCTGGGAAAGCCGAAGGTGGGAAGCCAAGAAGCAGCAGCCAGTCATGCTGTTCTTGTAGCTTCCTCACAGGTGGTTGTAAAGGTCTATGCAGGCAGTGTGTGTGCACACCAGTCCTACTTAGCTGTAAAGTGCGCTAGTATGTGCACGGTGGTGACAATGGTGCATTGCATCCCTGTGACTTCCCCAAGAGCCTTTGAGACCACATTGTTCTGTGTTCTCAGCTCCGAAGTTGAGTGAGTCCTGCTTGTTACTACCCTGGATGAGGAGTAGCCTTGAGGAACCTGTGAATTACCCAGCACTTTTCCTGCAGCTGTCCAGAGTCTCTTCATGGGCCTTATGCACATTCGGCTGCCCCTCAGACCCCTGGGGAGGAGAGGGAAGGGGAGAGCTTGGGCAACTTTGTCTCCTTTCCCTCTTCTGGATTACTTAGCAGACCTGATAGCCACAGGTCACAGACAATTAAGTACAAAGGAAGAAAATTAAATTTTAAGCTGGGCATGGTGGCACACTCGTAATCTCAGCTCTGAGCTGAGGTAGTTGTTCATCCTGAGATTTGAGGAAGAAAAAGCAGTTCCACCATTTGGGGCCAAATTTAAGGCAAGTTTTTTATTAAAGTTTAAATACTAACCAAGATGGACTTTCATCAGGACTACTCCCTAGAATGTCCAGCTAACTGGCCCTGAGGCACCTGTTGTCAGGGCTTATAAAGAAAGAATCCATAGGCCACCATACTTTCCCATGAGACTTAGCTGTTATCTTTCAAGAACTACAATTCCCAGAATCCCAAGTGTAAGACCCTGGGAAGCTCAGGCCTCCAGGATCTCAGCCCAGGACTGCAGTCACCCCATCACCAGGCGGAGTCGAAAGCTTGATGCAAACTGCAAGAGGCTTTATTATAGTTGTTTAACGAGCTAACCTCATGTTAGCTTGGGCCTTTCATCCACCCGCCATGATGGATGTCTAGGAAAGACAGCTCGAAGCATCTGCATAGAGATCTTATAGGGTGGCGTAAGGGGAGTGTCTAGGGATATGCACAGGCTCAGGATTGGTGTGCCTCCAGGCTTGGAGGGGTTGCCCTGTGTTGATTGGTCAACTGGTTGTTATGGCCCATAGGCCCTCCCAGGGTGGTTGCTCTGCTCTTCGAGTCATTGCTGTGCACTTGTCCTTAAAGCACACCCAGAGCCGTAAAGCATAGCACCACCAGCTAACTTCTGATTGTTTCCTTGCCACGAGGCAGGCACCTACCCTCCTAGTGACTAAGACAAGGTCAGACAAGCACGTGTTCGGCTGTTATGGCTGCCGAAATGGGTAGCTGGTCCCTTCACCAAGAACATACCTGCTCCTTGGGCAGGTGAGGATTATAGGTTAATTTAGGGTATTACACAGGAAAATCATGATAGATTTTGGGCCAGCTTGAGCTATACAGCAAGGCCCAAATAAAACATTTAACATAAGGGCCTGAGTTCTTGTGATTCAGTCAGTATTGACATGAGTTTTAAGCATCTGTATTAACTTCACATACCTGTACAGTAGAGTTCCACCTTCATCCAGTCCCTTAGCCAGCCAGTGTTCTCAAATAACCAGACCTGCTCCCTCAGGTAAGAACACAGCCAAAGAACACAGGCTATAAAAATGAGTCACACACACACACACACACACACACACACACACACACACACACACCATTATCAAAAGCCCCATTTTCGACAGATGGAAGTAGAGCTGCTCTGGGGAGTGTAAGGGCAGAGAGCTGAGCCTGACCATGGAGTTTGTTGCTCTAGAACTTTCCTGAGGCAGAATAGCTTCAAAGGAAAGTGAGGCCTGAGGTCCTAGACTCCAAGAACCACCCACATCTTCTGAGCAGGAAGGAACTGAGTGATATCTTGGCATGGACCTACTGTCCTGGTAGAGATTGCATCAGAAGTCCCACCAAGGTCTCAGAGCAATGTGTCCCTCTGTCCTTGCAGGCGGACTCCAAGATGGTGTGTGATGTGGTGAGCCGTATGGAAGACACTGAACCCTTCTCTGCAGAACTGCTTTCGGCCATGATGCGACTCTGGGGCGACTCAGGGATCCAGGAGTGCTTCAACCGATCTCGGGAGTATCAGCTCAATGATTCTGCCAAATAGTAAGTGCCCAGGCAGGCTGGGGGCTGGAGAACTGTGCAGGCACAGGGATGGGAGGCTGCGGGACTGGTGAGATGGGGAAGACTCTGGATGAGATACAAACTCAGGTAGTAGTATGAGGGAGAGACAAGAAGGGCTTTACTTCTTGTGCCCAGGATGGGAAGGAAGCAACCACACAGGAAGTGTCTGCAGGGCAGGAACCTGGTCCATATCTCCAGGACCACATCTGTACCCACAGGGGAATGTTCCAGGCTAGCAGGTAGGGTTTGTTTCTTCTGGAAAGGCCCAGACCACAAGTATGAATCAAGAACCATACAGGAGTCAAATGTGATGGAACACACCTTTAATCCCAGAATTAGTCCCTTTAATTCAGGAGGTTTTTGTGAACCAAAGGCCAGTCTGGTCTACATAGAGACCAGGCCAGCCAGAGCTACATAGACAAACCCTATCTCAAAATACATTCACAAAAAAATAAAAACAGGTAACAATAACAAAAATATACAGGCAGAAAACAACTCAGACACTGTCATCTTATTCTATTTTTACGAAAACAAGAGGCTTGGGGCTGAGGTTTAGCTTGAGTACATGCTAGCCCTGGACAATACTTATTGCCACCAAAATAGACTTCTGAAGTATATGTGAAAATGTCATAATGAAATCCATTACTTTTTTGTGTTTTTTTAAAACTGTTTTTGCTTTGTTTTGTTTTGTGAGACAGGGTCATATGTAACCTCAAACTCACTATGTAGGTCGTGATGACCTTGAACTCGTGGTCATTCCAACTCCGCCTCCCAGGTGCTAAGGTCACCACCACTCCCAGATTTCTCTAGCCTTAAAGTTAAAGAACAAGAAATAAGTAGTTCTCAGTTGAGAAATAGGAGAAGTAAGCAAGCATAGCCTTCAATACTGTGCTGTAACTAAACAAGGAAGAAGAAAAGAGGGAGTATGGGGCAGAGAAGAGAAAGAGAAGCAAGAAGTGGTAAAAACCACAGCTGAGGAAGTATCTCGGGCCCTTCCTGTGACACCAAGGCAACAGACCTGCTGAACTTTGCCACTCTCTCTCAGATGGGTGACTCTAGAGTCCTGGAATGGATGGCAACACTGGAGGTATATCCTGGCACTGAAGAGTGCCCCTAGTTTTTGTAATCTGGTGGCTATGGAAGCTAGAGCTACACTGCCTCACTGCTCCCTGCTGGTCGAAGTCTAGGGCTGTCTTTCCCCCAGAAGGACTTTTGGGGGGCCCCAGAGAGCCTGCTGGCTTCAGTCTGGCTTCTGAAAGTCCATCAAATATTCCTCTCAAGTTTTACCCATTTTATTAAAACTAAAGTGAATGCCTTGCAAAAGCATCTCAACAACAGACCAGGATATAAAATGAGCAGCAGTGTTGTTGCCACCCCACCCCCCCACACCCCACCGCCTGTCTCCTCCCTTCCACTGTTCCCATGTACTCATCCTACACTACTCAGTATTTCCTGACCCTTACCTTGAAATACAGAATTCAGTTCACCTTCCTTCTCCCCATGCTCTCTCACCACTCCTAGTTTTCTCCTGGTGTCAGGGTTATCTTTCATTCTCCCTGTGGTCACCATTATAATCTGAGTCAGTTTTTGCAATCACCTGTCCCTCCACTCCCTAACCCTCTGGCTCTCCCCTACACCTTCTAATGTTGCCAGATGGGATGGTTTTCTCCTAGTCACAACTCTGAGAGAAAACCAACAAGAGATGGAGAGAATTACAGGTAGAAGGACCTGAAGTGTCTCTTTGCCTGTCTCGTCTTGAGATGGGGTCTCGCTGTGTGTCCCACATTTCCCTGGAACTTGTCTGATAGCTCAGACTGGCTTCATACCTCTCCATACTTCCACCTCACTCTCTTGAGTGCTGTGATTACAGGTACATGCCATGATGCCTTGCTTTCCAGAGCTGTGAAATTGCATGGCTCCAGAAGGAGCCATTAACATCCTAAAATCCCAATTAATAACCATACCACCCTGCCCCAACCCTGCCTCTTGTGGATTCTGAGCTTCGAGGGAAAAGGACCTGGTCTGTTGCTAGACTTCTGCCCTGGTCTTCACTGCCTTGGTGGGCCATAACACTTCCTCACCTGAGGTCAGGCCTCTCCACCTCAGTCATCAATCAAGAAAATTCCATACAGATTTGCCTATAGGTGAATCTTATTACAAAGCCATTTTATTGATTCTCTCTTCCCAAATATGCCTAGATTTGTGTCAAGTTGAAAAAAAAAAAAAAACCAGCATACATGGTTTGGGAGGATTTGGTGAGACTCAGCCAACATAAAGGGGCCGGCTTGTATGTTCAGAGGTCATTGCCCAGCTGAGATAGGAATAGCAAGACAAAGAGTTCCCAGGCCTGGTGTCCAACAGGGTCAAGGATATTAGCCTGAAAAAAGGGGTCGTTAGTAGCTATGGACGAGGAGAGTCAGGCACAGAGGACTGAAAACAACCTCCCCAGGTACACTTAGGCCTCCTAGGATACCCATGGGGCAGGTCCAGTATTGCTTCGCTACTCTGCTCCCCCAGCTCCTTTCCTTGACCCCACCCCCAATGCGCCTTCCACTGAGAGCACTTGGGGAACTCTGACTCCATAGATCTAAGTTCCAGGGAGGCCATACCACTGCTCAGCTGAGATAGAACCCCTAGTCCCCACTAAAAGAGCATCAAATGGGAAGAGACACAGACCTCATGGTAAACAAGAGGACTTATAGAATGGTAGATAGATGCTCAGAATCTCTTAGCACCATAGAGCACCAAGAATGAAGACTCTGGAACCATGGACTTACCTGTATTGAGCCTCAGTTTTTTAATATTTAAAGCAGTAGATTTGGCACAGGGAAATTAAAGATGGACCATGAATACACGTTAAAAAAACGGAACCTGGAGGGGCTGGTGAGATGCCTCAGCATTTAAGAGCACTAGCTGTTTTCCCAGATGTCCTGAGTTCAATTCCCAGCAACCACATGATGGCTCACAACCATCTGTAATGACATGTAGCACCCTTTTTTGGCCTGCAGGCATGAAGGCAGGTAGAACACTGTGTACATAATAAATAAATAAATAAATAAATCTTTATTTTATTTTTAATTAATTTTTATTTAAATTAAAAACAATCTTATTTACATACCAATCCCAGTTCCCTCTCTCCCCCATCCTCCCATTCTCCCCCATCAGCTCCCCATCCCTCCCCCACCCACTCCTCAGGGAGGGTAAGACCTCCCATGGGGGATCATCAAAGTCTGTCCCATTGTTTGGGGCAGGACCAAGGCTCTTCCCCCTTTATCTAGGCTGAGAGAGTATCGCTCCAAAGGGAATGAGCTCCAAAAGCCAGTTCATGCTCAAGGAATAAATACTGGTTCCACTGCCAGCAGCCCCATAGACTGCCCAAGCCTCCCAACTGACACCCACATTCAGGGGGCCTATTTTGGTCTTATGCAGGTTCCCCAGCTGTCAGTCTTGAGTTCCATGAGTTCCCACTTGCTCAGGTCAGCTGTTTCTGTGGGTTTCCATAGCACATAAATAAATCTTAGGAAGGAAGGGAGGAAGGGAAAAAGAATAGAACCTCGGACTGGAGAGGTGGCTCAGCAGTTAAGAGTACTGGCACTTCTTTCAGAGGACATGAGTTCAATTCCCAGTACCTACATGGCAGCTCACACCTGTCTGTAACTCCAGTTCCAGGGGATCTGAAACACCTCGGTGGTGCACATGCATGTGGTTCACAAACACATACAAAACACCCATGCACATAATATACAAGTAAATAAATATATTTTTGATTAAATTTTATTACTTCAAATTAGGAACAAGCTTGCTTCACATGTCAACCCCTTCTCCCTCTCCCTCCCCTCCCCTCTCCCCCAACACTGTTCCCCAGCCCTTCCCCCCACCCCATTCACCCTCTACTCCCCAGGCAGGGTAGGGCCCTCGATGGGGCCTCCCCAAAGTCCAGCACATCATCCTGGGCCGGGCCTAGGCCCTCCCCCCTGTGTCCAGGCCGAGACTTGGGATGGGCTCTCAAAGTCCTTCTTACACCAGGGAAAAATACTGATCCACTACCAGGGGACTCCCAGAGTGCAGAGGCCTCCTCATTGACATCCATGTTCAGGGGTCTGGATCAGTCCTGTGCTGTCCTCCCAGACAGTAATCTGGGGTCTGTGTGCTTCCCCTTGTTCAGGCCAGCTGTTTCTGTGGGTTTCACCAGCCTGGT